AACGAGAGAGAGAGAGAGAGAGGGTCACTTGAAACTGATTCCTAATGTAGTTGTATAAAAACCATCATATCTATCTATTGATGTTTTGAATTATTCAGTGTTTATTGTTATTTCGCGCGATCGCTACATAAACCTAGAAACCGTAAAACTGTGTATTTCTAGATAAAAAACGCACGTTTATTTTTCTTCATGGTTATCTATATATGCATTTATTTCAATAACAATAAAAGTTAGCCTGTTTGTTATTATTAAAAGAGTTGAAGAAGCTAGTAACACATTGTCTTCCCTTTACGGATTATCTTTCGTCTCTCCCATGTTATTAGATTACACTGGTGTTGGAAGAATTTCGACATTCGTCAGTAATCCTGATTAGTTTCTTTACGGATTATCTTTCGTCTCTCCCATGTTATTAGATTACACTGGTGTTGGAAGAATTTCGACATTCGTCAGTAATCCTGATTAGTTTGAAATACAAAACAAGACAACCGTAAGTTAAATTCATACGATTATACTTTCTATTATTTATTTATGGACTAAATCTGGTATTTATAGAAGCGTTTAATCGTATGATAAGTATTATTTTAATACGTCAATTTTATTGTGATTTCATGTAAAATAATTAATAATAAATCATGTTTATCATAATATTTTTGGTATTTTGTGGGAAGTTTCAACAGCAAAAACATCGAGTAATTTACCTAAATCATTGGAGCTTACAAGATTATTCTTAGTAATAAAACCAAGTAAAAGCATTTATTAACAGCACGTAAAAAGAGAAGATTTTGATTTATTTTATATCCTAGAAAAATATGTTGTGTTTCAGGATATTTTAAATACAATACAAAAACGTGTGTTTTCAAGTTTGAAAGACAACTGCAAATTTTGGTATTTTCAGTGTTCATAAATCATATAAAACATCACTTATCCTCTTTTTTATATTCATTTGTACTCATAAGAACAGAATGTTTATTAAGTACGACTTGAAATGAAGACTGGATGTTTGGCTGTAAAAATCAAATTATTCATTTCTAGCGCAATATATTATTCGTTTGTCACAACAATACGACAAATTTTAAACATTAATTATTAGCAGATATATCTAATTTTCATTAGATAAACGTAGATAAAGATGTCTTAATCCGAAATATGAATACAATATTAAATTTGAAGTTATGTTATTATATATTAATAACTGTGCCACTATGTATTATTAACCATGTTATTATGTATTATTAACCATGCCATTATGTATCATTAACAATGCCACTATGTATTATTAAACATATTATTTATTATTAATCGTACTCACTCAGTGAAACATGTATTATTGATTTTGAGAACTGTTGTTACAACTAGAAAACATTTTGATTACTTTCTCATATCTGGTTTTCATGTTTTTTTATGTCTGTGCTGAGATGCAGAAAATCCATTGTGCAGTAAAAAGGACAATGGGAAAGTTTGATTCCAATTTATGTGAAATTAATGTAGTTTTCTCAAAAAAATCCTTTTGTGATAATTTGTTCTCTTTTCTCGAATTTTATCTTTGGTCGTTTTTAATAATTCTCATATTTTTGTATTTTAATTTCCTTATTTATTTGTTGTTTTTATTTCAACGTGTTTTAGTGGCTAAATTTCAAAATGTTCCAGTAACTTACGTTTTTGTGTTGGAATCTACTTCTGTAATTTCTTATATTTTATTTTTTAACTTTTCTTAGTATGTGCTGCTCACAATCTGTTTTTTTATGAATTTTATACTTTGTATTTGGTAGTGAACTTGTTTCGATACTTTTAATATTTTAATATTGACTCATTTCATACTTTTTGCATCTTTGTCATAAGCGCGTTTAGTTACATTATATTTTGGGTTTAATTTCCTTTACACATTTATTTTTCACATGTGGGTGTTATACGCTGTCTCACATATTTTAGTGAAAACAATTACAAAAAACAACAACAATAAAACCAGATTCTATCAAACTAAGCTGTATCAGCTAAATCAGAAAGCTTGTTTGATTGTTTGTTTCTTTGTAGTTAAGTACAAAGCTACATAATGAGCTATCCGTGCTCTGTCCACCACGGTTATAGAAACCCGATTTCTAACGTTATAAGTCCGCAGACATGCTGCTGTGTCACTAGTTACCAGTCACCAGTCACTAGTCACTAGACACCAATCAAAGCAATTAAAAACTAACTGATCTCAGTATAGATTCCTAAACTTTAAGCACTACAAAGATTAAAGAAACAAGACTCTTAGCAACTTCTATCCCTATTATATAATTGTTTGCAATGTAAGTGTGTAACACTTTGTGCTGGTCATAAAATCTAACAAATAGTTTTAATAATTCATAATAGTTTTTTACTGTTATATATTTCTTCTTCCTTGCGTAAAACCAAATTTTCCCTCATTATTTGCTTTCCTTTTTTTTGGGCCCACAAACCTTACAAATAATAAAAATCACTCTTATCCTTAATAACAAACTTCTACTCTCAAATTAAGCAACTTAGACAATATATACAGACCTAGCCTTCGCACTAAACACTTGTTTCAATATAAAGATCAAATACCTACATTTCTACGTTCATAGCTCGTGTATATTTAGTGATTGTAAGGTCACGTACATTGGTAAAACAAAACGCCACTTGAAAACTAGAGTGTGAACATTTAGGAGTATAAAACAGAAACTGCAGTCCATTATTTAAACCCAGCCACTCATCCACTCGTACACATGCTGCAACCACGGGTCACAAAGTTTTGTTACTAAAGATCTTTAGACCTTGAGCTCTGTAAAGAACGTTTACTCGTAGCTAAAGAACGCCCTACTCTTAACAACTTACAAACTTCTTTAGACTTAAAATTATTCTAAATTTACGCAGTTAAAACTCAACTGTTTGTTAAGAATAGCTACAACTGTACTTTCGTAATGTTTACTATAATCTGTTTTTCCTTCCGTTTACCACTTTACTGAATATCTAAGTAAATTCGTGATTGGTGATACTATAAAATCAATAAATAAATATAATTGTAACATTAAAAACACGTCCCGAGGTGATCGTGTTTTGATCAGGTTAACACGTCAACGTCGAGAGAAGCATTGCAACACCTGACGATAGGAATGGTATAAACATATTCATTCCAGGATATCCAGTTGAACAGTGAATGCGAGACTGACCAAAGAAGGTTATTTTGCAAGAAGAGCTATTTTCAAACCGATATTAACCAGAATTCACCGCCTTCATCGTGTTACTTGGGAAAGACAGCTTGCCAGACACTGGTGACATGTCATCTTTTCAGATGAGTCCTGTTTTCGGCTTGTTAAAGCTGATGGTAGGATTCGTGTTCGTCGTTTGCTTGGAGAACAGATGAGAAAGGACTGTCTTTTCCATATGGAACACGCAGGTGGTAACGCAGTACATGTTTGGACAGCTATCCAATATAGTGGAAATACTGCTCTTCATATCCTCCAGGGAAACGTCAATGGCGCCTCCTACAGGCATCACATGGATACTTTATTTCTGATACGTACTAGGGCAAAGTTTAGTAATAACTTTGTGTGAAAGGATGACAAT